ATATCGCTATTAAAGCTTTTGCCATTAAGACATGCATAGATCTGTTAATATATCGGAAATGGCCAGATTAGGCAACTATACATCCTTAGACATTTTGGCTAAGCTTCAAAATTGTCCTTACTTATCGACAGAACTGTATCAAATCGGACTGGTGTATAATATGGCTCCAATTTCTAAGTATTTAATGTTAAGCGATTCTTTCTTGTTATTATGTTATTAAAATTGAAAAAGAAATATAAATTATAAATTTAATTACAGTTTTAGTTAATTACGACTTGAAAGATTTTGGGGGTGCCAATCAAAAGCAATTGTGCGCCCATAATTAATTGTAGAATATTTGCGAGTACTTAAAATTGATTTGAATTTAATTGCGCTGCCCTCGGGGACGAGGACAGGGACAGCGACTGGGACAAGCATCCAGACAGAGGCGATAATAAAATTTGAATTGTGAAAATTTGCTGGAGCGCGCGAAATTATTTATTTATGATTGCGGCGAAAATAATCGCAGTTAATTGCACGCCACAGTGCGCTCTACACACACATGCGTACATATGTCTATGAGTGTGTGTGTAGGTGTTTGTATATATGCACTTTATTCTTATATATGTATGTATCGAATGGATATACGCACACACACGTACATACACGTACACATAATGCACACGCACCAGCAGCAGAATTGACACGGATACGAGAAGCGGACAGTCGTCGGACATGCAACTGCAACTGCCGTCGCGACGGCTGCGGCTTCCCCGTTGGACGACGGACGTTGGCAGACGGACGCTGGACGTGTTTGGACTAAGGGCTGGGGGGGAGCCCCAGTTGAGTGTGCATTGCGTGCAGAAAGCCCATGAAATCGAGCTAGCTGCGGGACTGAGCAGTGGAACTGAGACTGGAACTGGCACTGGCACTTTGACTGGGACCGAGACTGGGACTGAGACTGGGACTGGGAGTGCAACAGCTAGGTAGTGTGGCAAGAGTATAAAGGTGTGAGTAAATGAACGCCATGTTGGCCGCCATATTGAGCGAGAGTACACACGTTGACAGAGACATTTAAAAGAAGAACGGACGGTTGCGCTTTGTCACAGATTGGCCAGTGAGTGTGAGAGAGTGTAGCAGACCGGGTATTCGAGCCACGAAAGTGGGCAGACGGCATGTGGGTGGCTGGATGGAGGGGATTGGCATAAAGTGGTTGCTGATGGCCGGCACAATTGTTGGGTTTGTCAACGTGACGTTGGCATGTTCATGCCTGCTTCTCGCTCAACTGGAGCCAATGTCACTTGTCGTGCCAGGCATTATTTGTTTAAAATGTGTGTTCACTGCTGTAAATTGCTACTAACAGATAATAACAACAACAACAACGACGACAACAACAACAACAAACAAGAGTATGTAATTATAATTGCGAACTAAAACTAAATTGCATGTTCAGTCATATGCTGAACTAACTATATATGCACATATATGTGCACACATATCTGTATATAAAAACTTATAGTCGTCGCCGACGTGGCCGGCACTCGTACATGGGCGCCTCAGTTCGGGCAGTTATTGTTTTTGTGTGAACAAGAATTCGATTTGTTAACAAGATTATATGGCCAGCCGCAGCTCGCAGACTCACAGTCAGGCTTAAAGGCACACACTCACACACACACACACACACACACATACACATACATGTTTAGAACGCTGTACACTGTAAAAATAGAATGCGTGGCAATTAGCAACAAATGAACGGTTGTGCTCGCCAAATTGTAAAACATTAGAGAACAAAAGCGCACTAAATAAACCCATATAGACATACATGCGCATGCATGCATGTACACATGTACACATGTACACATGCATGCATGTACACATGTACATATGCATGCGTGTACACACATGTACACACCTGTACATATGTAGTTGTGGCTGCATCCGCCGCATTGGCAACAATAGCGGTCAGCCTACGCGATAATAATACGGCGGGATTTAATCACCGGCTCTGATGTCCGCAGGTTACGTGCACCAAATTACTGAAATCGTAACATTTGTTTTAACGTTCATAAGATGCTTAGGCAAATTGTAAAGGCAATAAAGCAACAACAAAAACCGAATGTTAAATAGTTTGCCAGATTCATGCCTTATTTTCTTATACGTTTTGAAGTTTTCTCTTGGCCAGCATATGGTATATGCATGTATGCATATATTATTGATTCGAGTCGTCAACAAACTTCATATTTACAGTCGAAACATTATCAACAGCAAGCCTATATAGAAGAAAAGAAAAACTATAGAAAAATCAATAAACATTCGCCGCAAAATATTCGTTTCTTTTTTTTACAAAGTTGAGAGTTGGCAACTTTGAATGGGAATTTAATTGGATTGCATTTGTATCTTCTCCAAGTGCAGCAAATCGATAGCTTTAAGCGCAACATTGTTTTTTTTTTTTTTAAACTTTATTCAGTCGTCAGCTTGTGCTATCCTTGCAGGCTACTTATAAGTACAATGGTATGGAAGAGAGAACAAATTTTGCGAATGCCCAACGTCCTTGTGCCAGACAATAATAGCAAAAACTCAAACATCAACTTCAACGCTGCATAAAAATCAGGCGCTTTTTAGAGACGAAGCAACATTGCAAAAGACCCATAAAAAAAGCACAGAAAAGGACTAGCAAATGGGGCGGGAGCAACGACACCAACGAGTCCGCAACTTCCGAGCCGGGCGCAGAGCACAGTTTCGTTTCGTTCTTTATCTTGTTGTAAAATTCACCGCACAAACTGTTGATTCTGCGGCACCATAAAAATCCCATGAAAAATTTAAAAAAAAAAAATAAAAAAGAAATTGTTGTCGAGCGGCGGGTGTAACAAAAAGGGAACGTTGAAGATGGGTCTAGCAGCAGCACGAAAGTGAAATGTGCGACGAGCTGCTGCACAGAGATGAGTTGCAACAGGAAATACGCATGGACGGGGGAGGGCTTAATTTAGCTAGTAGAGCTTTAGTGCGAAGGGGTTTGCGGCGGACAGCAGGATAAAAATGCAAACGCAATAACGCCGCCTGGGCTCGGAGTCCGGCTCCGGCTCCGACTCTTGCTCCTGCTCCGACTGCTGCTCTGGCTCTCAGTTGCAAGCCCAAACCCACAGCTGACCATACGCTTATGGCGTTGTCGTTCTCGTCCTCGTTATTGTTGAGTTTTTGTTTTTGTTGTTGCTGTAGCCGTTGTTGTTGTGCGCTGTTTCACAACTATGTTTTACAATATTTTGACGTTGTACTACACTGGGGGTGTGGCCGTTGTGGGTGGTGCACAGCGCGTTGGCAATATGAAAGCATCAATTTAAATTGTTCGCATTTTTAATGAATTTTCATGTCGCCTTACAGCACAGTGTAGTTCAGTGTATTTCAAATAAAAAAATTACATGTCTTGACCATTAGTCAAACCAGTTTGTCTCGCATTCACAGTTATGGAGCCAGCTACGATTTGGCGGCGCGCCGAAAGAACGCCACGCGCGAATCCACGGCCACGTTGAAGGCGTGGCTGAATGAGCACAAGAAGAATCCGTATCCCACCAAAGGTGAGAAGATCATGCTGGCGATTATCACAAAGATGACGCTCACCCAGGTCTCGACTTGGTTTGCGAACGCGCGTCGCCGCCTTAAGAAAGAGAACAAGATGACCTGGGAGCCAAAGAATCGCACCGATGACGATGACGACGCGTTAGTGTCGGATGATGAAAAGGACAAGGATGATGTGGAGTCCACAAAGGATTCGCATGGCGGCAGCTTGGCAAAAGGTACTCCCTCGCCGGGGCACAGGTATTCAAGGCAGTGCTAATAGCTGAGCTTTGCTTTCCTGTTTCTTTCGCAGATGTTGCCCAAAGACGAGGAGGAGCTGATCGATGACGAGCAGAAGAGCCTGGGTCAGGCAAATATACTGCGCGCCGGCTTTGGTTATCCTTCGGGCGGATACCACGGCGGCAGCGGCAGTGGCCATCCGGCTGCCTACAACCCGTACCATCATCATCATCATCAGCATCCCGCCTATTACCAGCCGCAACAGACGGTGCTGCCGGCAGCCTTTTCATGCGGGCGACAGCGGCCTGGCCATGGCCAGCAAGCATGGTGAACACAGCGATTCAAAAAACCAGCTAGGCCGGACTGTGGTGTGCCGATTCCAGCTACGAAGCCCAAAATCTGGAGCTTGGCCGACACAGTTGCCTGCAAGACCCCACCCCCAGCATGCATGGGCCAAGGGCAATTAATGCCGCAGCAGCAGCAGCAGCAGCAGCTGCAAGCACAGCGTCATCTGCATCCGCAGTCCCAACAGGAGTCAGGCTTGGGGATGGGCACGTCCCAGGTGCACCAGCAGCAGCAGCAGCAGCAGCAAGAGCAACAGCCGCTGGCGATGGGCAGCCACCTGTTCAACGGAGCGCCATATGTAAGGGCGCATACCACGGCCTACGGGGGTTTTTCTAGGGGCTACGACGCAGCAGCTCCATACTACGAGCACGAACAGTGCCCAATACAACAGTGGCCAGTCCAATCCGCTGCTGCACAGCAACAGCAGCAGCTCCAACGGCACGCATACGCCTACCATCCCTACTACGGTAAACCAAATCCGAGCGAGGCAATGAGATTGGGCTTGGGCCTGGGCCTGGGCCTGGCCGAGTCGGCGGGCCAGCCGCAATTCCCAGTAATTCGTCAGTCACATCCACAAGCAGCAGCTGTCTCAATCCACAGCGAGTCAGCGGGCGATGGCGATGGGGTTTCCCGAAGCCCAACCCGATACTCCACCCCAAACTCCGCCGAATATGAAGGTCTTGAGCGGAGCTTTGAGTCTGCTGCCTACCGCTTCACAAATCCCTATGACCGCTACCTGTCGCAGCAGTAATAGCTACAATCCCGGCTGCAATTACCCCATGAACTTTTCCACACGCCTCAACGAATACGACTACTCATCGAACCATAACAGAGATGAGTTCAGCAGCAGCAGCGGCAGCAGCAGCAGCAGCTCCTCCTCGCACATTTGCAGCGGTCGGAGAACATGTTCAAAGCCGCTATTCAAGAGGTACACTTACTCAAAATAATCTATGCACAAGAATAGCAAAAATACATGTTAACCAATTTCGTTTAGCCTGACGCCTGTCTAGAGAAAGTTGGACAAAGACCTTATGTATTTGCAATATACATATGTATGTGTAAACATATGTACATATTATAACTTAGGTAAGACCCTCCCGCATATATTTGCAATAACTATAAAAACTGATTTCCATTCAATCTATGTACATACGCAGATTATGATTTTTCTGGGCTCGTGCAACAACAACGTAATGGATTGTGTAATATTTAACAATTAATTAATAATAATATATACCACATTGGTACAGATGTACCATACAAACTACAACTACAACTTAATAAAAGCCGTGCATTGTCTTAAACTATATCTGAAGTAAGCATTATTAGGGACAGCTTCTTTTATAAACAGGCACATTTCAACTTAGAACTTAAGATTATAAACTGTGATAAATTTTACATTGTTTAACAGACTTCAAATAAAACAACAACACATCGTCTCTATAAATTTATAATAATTAATAATTTAAATTCGTTCAATACAAATAAATCTTTGTAATCCTAACAAATATTGTCTTTTTAATATTGGGTAAATTTTCATCTTGGTCATATTGCGTTTACAATATGAAAGGTACGAATTAATTTGCCATGTACCTGTTAATTTTTAGCTACAATCAAGCTAAAATTGCACTGAGGTTTGCGTTGGGAATATTCAACACCTATTTTAAAGGAAGTGCATTTCATTTTAAGCACTCGGAGACTCGGAGAGCTAAGCACGGAACGCAAGAAACTTTTCTAGCGCATGGCTACCGTTTCTTGCAAAGTACCTTTGCTTACTTATGATGATAGAAACGCACAGAATACAAGTAAAAACTCAAGATACATATCTGCATAAATACTGTGCTGATTTGCAGACACATAGACACATATCAAATACATCCCAATTTGTGCATTAAATAGGTACATTTAAAGCCAGATGTTCTTACTGAGTCGTCTTTCGAAAGTTTTTTCATTTAAGCCAGCGCTAATTACCCTTTCAACATAACAATTTTTTTTCTGAGTACAAAGTGAAATTAACATAAATTACATATTATAATTCATTGCAGCCGCACATGTACCCAGTTGTCATTTGTAGCTGAACTAAAAGCAGATACATGTACATAAAAAATCGAATTAATGCAAACGAGAGGGGTCAACTGATGGCAAATAAAAAAGTTGGCAAAAAATCTTCTTAAATGCAATTTAATATGCAATGTTGCGCTGTTTTATTTTCCAAATGTAACAATTGCTTTTTAACAGGGTATCAGCTTTTAAAGCGTAAGGTATTTTATAATAACAGATACTATAATGTCAATAGTTAGCAACTAGTTTAGGAAGTACCTTGCAGACAAATTTCTTATATATTTACTTTCTCTCATAGAAGCAACACCCGATTTCTTTTTTAATAATTCTTGGATTAAAAGCTGGTATAAAGTTTAAATTAGCATAATCTTAACATATTCAGTTTACAATACTGCAATTGATAGAGCTGATTGAGTTGATGCATGCATTGATACCCTAACTAATATGCCCATGAGGTATATGGCCAAACAATCTTAATTGCGATAGCTGTTGAGTGCAAACTCAGTCCCAATCTCCACATATATAGGAAGTTATTCAGAGGAAAGAAAGTATTCTCTAAAATAGCATTTAGATAGCCGCTTGATTAACAGAGTGGCTAGAGGAGCGCGAAATAAAAAGATCGAAACCCCGTAAAGACGAAAACAATATGTTCTAATAAAGTTTGCAATGAAGTTGACATACAGTGGCAAATATATGAATCAATAAAATCATAAAATAAATAATACAAAATAAGGATGCATACATGGTTTTCTTTGAGTGTACACACCCTATAGTTACGAAATTGACTCTGCAAAAACTGTGCAGCATCATCAATATCATAACAGCTGCTGAGCGTGAAACATATTTTTTTTTGGCTTTAAACGGAATGAGTTGGCAAGACCTACAAGCCAATAGTAGTACGACACCAGGTTTGGCCCACATCCACGATAAATTATGCGACAGAGAAAACGTTTCTGTCAAAGTCTCCAACTTTGGAGCCCGAGCAAACGAGACAAACTCTATGTGTGCGAGAGTGCGAGTGTGCGAGCGTGTGTGCGGGGAGTTTGGTGTTCGTGGGGAAAACAATTTGTAACGACTATCGGCGTTTGATAAATTAACATTCAGCAGTTTCTCGATTATGCAACAAATTGTCATTTGAATTGAAATTGACAGCCGCTAAAGGCAATAAGTTACGATAAATTTGGTCGAATTGGCCGATGACGACGACGACGACGACGACGACGATGACGATGCTTGTAAGTGGCTGTGATTAATTTGGTTTTAGTTTGACACACTTTAGATGCATCTGGGTAGCAAAAGCGGACGTGCAGTCCACTTGGCTAATGCCTAATACATAATTTAGTAACAAATTTCTTGAAACGACTTGTATCTGTAATCCTCGCTGCCTATCAGCGGGATATTAGTTCCGTTCACATAGTTCCCATAATGCAGCCTTATGCGCTTTATGAGTTGTTTTACAATGCTAAACGACTTGCACTGGGCATAAAATTTCCCATTACAAATGCGGCCAATCAGTAAGCGGGTAAATTAATCGCATCACATGCCATCGCCATCGCCATAGCCAGCGCCAGTGTCAGTGCCAGTGCCAGAGTCTTCGTCGCCAACGACCAAGTGGCGGCCAGTCCAGATCCTTGGCTGCGTTTGTAAAGCGATCTCATTTATGGGCCATAAACCCATAGTAGCTGCCCTCTCCAGACCCAACGTGACTCGCTGCTGTTGTTGTTGCTGTTGCTGCTGGAGATGCTGCTGCTTGGCAGTCGAGAGAGTCGGCAATCGGATTTGAGTATTGTTTGTGATCGGTCACCAGCGGTGAGGATATACGACAGTTAACTTATCTTGCATCCACTTAACGTCTCGCGGCAATAAATCAATCCTATGGTCAAAATCACGTTGGCAGCCAGAAGGCGAATTAATCACTTTGAAAATTGTTACCCATTTGGAAACTTGTCGCATTAACTTCCCAGCTGGGCTGCATGCAACCCGTTTCTAAATATGTATAAAAACCAGTTCGCGATCAAAAACGTGTGTGGGCAATCCTTCAACATCATGTGGAAAACTCGGATAATTTATGATTGACAGTTTTAGGCACTATTTGTGGTATTCGGCTCTCTATTAAAAGGGTTACAAATATTTGCTGCCCTAGCGTGCATCTGCCTGGCTTATGAATTAAATAAAATCAGAAGCCTAGATCAAGTAACTTATATCGCGATATTAGTTAATCAAAGTCAAGCTAGCTACAAATTGATAGAGTTGAATTTATATTGTTCAAGAAAATTTATTAATTGACCTTTAATTTGATTTTTTAATTGATTCGGAGTAGTCTGAAACGTGTGTAAATATAATCATAGTTAAGGTAAAGCTAAGCAAGCAGAATATATGTGCGAAAATGAGATTTAGCTTAGCTTAATTCTACTTTATTGAGCTGGCTAACTTCTGTCTGTCAGATCTGATATAGACAGTTTCGTCCGATAGTCCGACTTATTTGTCCATGAACTAATACAACCTGTCTGAACTAAATGCTAGCAATTCACATTTTGACGAAAGTTTCTATGCGATTCTTTCATCCTTTTCCATTTATGGACAAGAACTTATTCGCTTTAGGTTTGAGCTTTAGACTTGGGAGTCATTTTTGACTCTAAGTTCAGCATATTAACTATATTTTGCCTGAGGCCTATGCGATGTTTCGGTTAGTTAGGCGCAACTTTATCCAGCCTAAAGTCTGTCTTCATATTTGGCCTGAATCGTTACCAAGAAGTTAACATTGCATTTGATCTGAAAACTACCAGCATTGGTTAATATATAAATAATAAATATTTATATTCATATCAAAAAGCTTTCAAATGCAAATTTAGCCAAAACACAAACAATCCTGTGCATGCTCAAAAATATCTTGCTGGGCAGCTATTTTGGACAGCAAATTGCTTAAATACTTGTGCCTATTAAACAATTAGTCACAGCTGCTTCGGGTAAGTCCACAAGAAGTTTTATTTAATTTTCACAATTTTCATATTCATCGAGACTATTCACACTCAATTATAACATACCAAAGAACACAAATTTGCTCGAAAATAATTAAAGGGAGAATTCCAAGAAGATGCGTTTGCGTAAGTCCGTCCTGTCTGTTTGCAGGAATTGCCACCGTAACGCACTCAAACCCCAGCGCGTGGGCGTCGATGCTGTCAGGACCCCCTCTCCCCACCCAAAAATAAGGAGACGTCGAGCTAACCCACTTGCCTATAGGATTCAAGATGCTACAAGAATGCAAAGTGTCATTTAAGTGAAACAAGACGAGAACAAATATACAGCCGTCGAGGCAGGCACGGGCAGACTTGGAGACAGCCCGATGCTCGGGTTGGGTTCCAAAGAAGGCCGGCCGTCAGGCCTATCCCAACCCTAACCGAAGAGCAAGTATTCAAGTGTGTGTCGAGTGTGCGTGTGTTGTGTGGTGTGCTCATGTCTTTAGCTGCAGCAGCAGCAGCAACAGCATCCTTAGCCACGCAGCTTGCTTACGCAGCAGCCTCTATAAATTATTGCTGCTGCTTGTCATGTACGGAAATCCTTGTGTCAGTGTAGCCGAAATGCCGGGCTCTGGCTTTGACAGAGTCGGGCACGGCGATACGTTTTCAACAAGATTAGAATTTGGTTTGCAACGCACAAAGCCCCAGAAACAATTCAAGCAGACACACATCTCGCAACTATAACAATTAATATCCTGCCAACTGGCAACTGGCCGCAAGGCATGGGCATGCAGCTCGTGTTGTCTTTGGCCTGCGTTTGCGCACATCGGGGCGTATGCGTGATGCTGTATGCTAATTCACCCATTCCCCCATTCCCCCCCCGACAATGCAATAGACACACGACTGTGTTTGAGTTATTAGCTAACTATGCTTACAAGCAATGCGCGTATATCACATTGCTTCCTAAATATAATGAACTAAGCGCTAATTAATTAAATAAACTGCTCGAAATTAGCAAAAACTAAAAATGTTACCATTTTAAATATATTTACAATAAGGTATAAAAACTTAAGCTGATTAAGAATCATGCAATTCATTAAAAACAATATAGAGGTTTATTTATATCATAATTTTATGCCCATTGCGATCGGATGTTACTTTATATGCACATTTACCAATCGGTAGACATATATGTACATACATTAATATTCGCTTGTATATTATATGAATATGTATATGTATATGCATATGTAAAAGGCCTTTGGGTCCTAAGCTAAAGGTAAAACTGGTTATACTAAAAAGTAATAAATACAAATATGATAATAATAATAAGAATAAAATGTATAATAATAATAATCATAATAAAAATAAGTACGCACTCACTGAAAAATACACATACAAGCGCACGATCATTGGATTATCCTTCACTTAGTGGGAGGAAAAAACTCTTAATCACTGAAAGAACAAAAAAATAGCTGCGTAAGATCAGA